ATGGATTTTTAGGGCTCTTTTTACAGGTAAACCACTTTTATTCCTGATTTAAACTAGTGATCATGTGAGCAGCTGCAGCTGTATGCTTTTATTTTTTTCTGTCAGGCTGTCAGAGCGCTCCTCCTCCTCTGTCCGAGGCTGGTGTGGGGTGAAAATCCTCCACCTCAGACGTTCAGAGATGTAACTATCTGTGATACTGTGGTCACTCTCCATGTAGAATCAATTATGCTAATGCTAGCTGTCATGTTCTCTCGTCCTGGCCACACCTCAGCTCTCTAAAACCCCTTCCCCTACCCACACCCCCTCCCCTACCCACTTTAATGCATTTTTCAAATTTCGCCTTTGGGGCGGAGTTATCTTTTCACAGGGGGGGTAAGTTATACTTTAAATTCAGTTGATTTTACAGAAGCCTCTCTGTCCTCCTGCGATCAAACAGAAATAACACCGAGATGGAAAGGTGAGTGAAGTGAGCCCACCTCTGATGCCCCTCTGAGACCCCAAGCGAGGCAGTATCAGAGGCAGACCCGAGCTGGGCTGACCGACTTGTGAAAAAGCAACCAGCGGTTTTGTGGCTCAGAAAAAGATGAGCTGATGACATCAGTGAGCGACGGCAGGATTAATCAACAGATTTATGATCAAGGGAATAGGTTACATTAAACAGGACATGAAACAGCAGCTTTGTTATTAAACATGTCAGAGCTTGTAGGATGTAACCTGCTCTGCCACTACAAATACGTTCTCCTGTCCTCACTTCTTCCTGTTTCTGCCACTGACAGTCCACCTACACACCTCTGTGTGTGTGATTAACACTGATTTTTGTCAAAGTTATGGGTTTTTGAGGCTCGTTACACAGGTAAACATCCAAAAGGGTTGACATAAATGTTATATAATAAAATATTGAACCACAGGATCACTAAAGTGAGTTAATTCAGTTTGTTTTGTTTGATACGAGGCAGCAGACATCTGTCACACAGGCGGTCCACTTCAGTCCAGCTGAGTTCTGCTCCACACCTGTAGCTGTGTTTCCACTAAACATGAAAACGCGCAAATTAGAATTTCAAAAATTAATTTGCTCAATGGAAACACGACAATTTCGGAAAAAAATTACGTTTTTCGACAAAATGTTTTTGCACTAGGATGAGGTGGTTTTTCAGCCGTATCAAAATTGGTGTTTTTCACAAAACTGCAATGGAAACACATTTTTCACATCACGGGAGTCACGTGATCAACAACCGTCTGTTTCTACTGGTGAAAAAGACGATGATGAAGAAGATAACAGGAAGTAGAAGTAGTAGTAATATCACAGAAGTAGTATAAAATAGTAAACTCAGCGACTACAATTTCCCAAAAACACAGCATACGTAGCCGCTCCCAAGTAGGGACTTGTCTCTGGAAAGCCTCGATAAAAGACGCCGACGTCTCCTCTGATGATGAGCGCTAGTGTCGTGGTAGCAACATGCTATGTGTTTACATCCATCGCTGCCATGTTTGTAATGACTTATCACGAGAACAAACGTATTCACGTGACTTTAATAACATTTCTTACTTAATGGAAACACTGCAGTTGCGAAACTGTGTTTTTTCGACATTAACAGAATATCGACAAAGTTTTGCGCACATCTGCAAAGGAAACGCAGCTTTTTTAGGTTCTGCTGGGTTCATTTCTGAACACGTACATGTGAGCGGGACCTGGCGGGCTTCTCCTGTGATGTATGAATGACCCGGGGGGATTAAAGCCGGGCCGGTCTGTGTAGTGATTTCACAGAAGTGTCTTGTGAAAGAGGCTGTCCAGAAGAAGTGTGTGGAGCTGTGAGTTCACTGAAAACACTCAGCCTCTCCGTCTTCTCCCACATCTCTGCACGGCTGTATGATAAGCACTGTTCAATGTATTTTTATTTATTTATGTGTCTGAACTCAGTGGTGAGGAGCAGGAACTGGGACATGTTTACAACCAGAACCAGTTTAAAACCTTTTGTTTCTGTGCACACACTGTGTATAAATACTGGACCTGAGCACACTCGGGCCTTACCTGTCCACAGTTACAGGTTTGTCTGTGTCTCTTGTCACCTTTGTGGGCGGTGGCTCTTGGTCCAGTCCTGCTGAACAACATTACACAGAGAATCATTTTATAAAACTTTGTCACAAACGTCTTTCACTTAGAAACAATACAAGTATCGAATAGGGCTGGGTTAAAAAAATTGATTTAATCGATTTGGATCAATTTTTGTTCAAATTTGGGGAAATCGATTTATAAGTCATGAGATGGATTTTTCCCCATGGATGCTGTGTGTCACTMCTGGCTTGCCGTAGGTTTACAGCCGGTTGACGGTCAACGCTAACATTAGCTCCCGACAACAAGTTGTCTGGATCAAAACAAAAGAAACTAAAGAATCACTAACTTTACAGCTGGTTCTCAGCAGAACTTAAAGATAACAGAGACCAGGACAACTTCTRTTAGCAAAGATCTGCGCTCAGACGCAGCAGCAGGAAACGAAGCTTCGAGCGGCTCGAACCAAAACTACAGTATGTAAACACCTGAAACTGTTCTCCTCTGCATGTAAAAATATGTGAAARATGACAGTCTAACTAAATCCTTTAGTTTTGTTACCAATGTTATTTATAAATTTTAGAAACATCTTAATGTAATTCAGTGGTGAAAGTTTTAGCTGAAGTACTTTTTTTTCTTTCTCTCTTCTTGTTAATAAGTTTTATTGAACAGAAGCTAACAGAAATATTACAAATATACAATTAGCATACTCTCAAAAGAGTGGGCATAAGTAAACACTTATATTATCCCACCTCTTCTCCTGCAACCTTATTCCATCACTTCTTAATGATCAAGAAAATTATTCTTAGTTTCTTAAAAAACTAAAGTATCCAACAACGTTTTCTCTTACAATTTGTTTTTAGTTTAAACCCTTTGAAACTTGAGAGTTTTGTTTCAAGATTAAACTCCAATTTACATGTTTGCCCTTAATGTTTATAATTTTACCAATGCACCAAGTTAGAATTAGTTTCTATTTGCAGAATTAGTTCCTTTGAGAATGTCTTACATATCAAAGTAAATGTGTTACTGCTTGATATCCTTAACTAATTTAAAAATCAATCAAACTGAATCGTGAATCGAATCAATGGGGAAATCTGAATCAATACCCAGCCCTGGTATCGAAGTATGACTTAAAAATGTCCGTTAACCTGTTTCTGCACCACCCCGCTGTGGGTGGTCTCTCTTTAACCTGGGTGGGGAGGACCTGAGGGTGGGGGTCACCTGCTGGAAGAGAAACGATCAAACAGGAAAGAATCCTTCAGTCATTTTGTGGTGAGAACTATGAAGCATAAATATTAAGGTTTTAAAAACAAATCTTTGGTCTTTAGTCTGCGAGTCTGAGCTGTGGTCAAATGAAAACTAAAGCAAGAGTTGAACTGAGACTTGGAATTAGCAGACACACATTTTAAAATGATTTGGAGGATTAGTACCAGGGACAAAGTAAAATCTTGACTGTAAGAACTCCACTTTGGTCTTAGGTGTGGTCAGACTAGCCGTTAGCTCCACACTTCTGTCACACTAATCGTGTTTCCATCCAGTTGTAGAGTGAATTTTTATCGAACTTTTCAAAATTCACAAAAAATTTAATAAATAAAAATTCGAATCTAGACTGTTTCCGTCTAGTTTCCCTCTCGACTAGATGTGAATAAATGAGGCTAGGCAACGCGTGATTACATCAGACGTCGGCGACAAGCTTTGCGGTAGTAAACAGRAAGTGAAACTTGCTAACTAGCAGAGGCTAATCATCTCGTGACAATGGAGCGATTTTTTGTGAATGACTTGCTATTGGGCAAGTTGTAATTATTCTATCTATTCAGCTCGTACAGGCTATGTTTAATGCTGCCAGGAGACGTAGGGAAATAAACGCAATGTTAAACTACGCAGCAGAAAGGCACGTGCAGCTACGCAGGGCTAACATCCGGGACGAGGCAGGAAAGCGGAAACAGCTGAACGTCACGTGAGATAAATATGCGCTACGTCAGAATTTATTCAGCAAACGTGTTTCCATCTCCCGTTGTGCGCATTAACTACTTTGCGAATCATCCAAAAACCACCTCAAGCGAGCGTAAAAACTTTTTAACGAATTGAGGATTTTTTTTCCGAATTTTGCCGTTTCCATCCGACTTTTTTTCCCATTTTTAATGCGACACTTCTAAAAGCGCATCAAAAAGCCTTGATGGAAACACGATTAGTGAAACTCTGTTTCTTCAAACCGAGGTTAACAGGTAAGATGTTACTGATACTGGATGAAGTATTTCTTTAAGACAAGCTCAGAATAAAATGCATGGAGCTGGTCTCGGTGGTACCTCTCTCCTGTACTCAGGCTGGGTTCTCTCCTCCCCGTTACTCCTCCGGCCTCTGTAAGGTTCAGGAAACACCTGGCTGGAGGAGGAGCTGTGACGGACCCTGTCAGGACTGCAGCCTCTTTGCTCTGGGGGTCCGCTCTTCAAGCCATAACCTGGACGGTCAAGTGACTGAGTTTCTGGGCCGTAAGCACGGCCTTCAGGCAGCCTGCCTGGCTCAGAGAAGCGTGATGCCCAGCGGCTGCTTTCATGTCTGTTTGGAGACAACCTCTGGCGGTCGATGCTTTTCTCCTGAATATTAGAGGAGGGCTGGTGGTGTTGAGCCTTTAAGATCTCAGACTCAGAATCAGATGACAGAGGGCTGCTGGGATCGTACAGCTGAGTCCTACAGGTAAAGAAAGAGTTCTGATAATCAGGTCTCTGTGACTAAATGAGTCCAGTTACCACCAATATTCTACAAACGTTTGAGTCAAATCTCATCTAAGATGGTAAGAAGTGCCTGCCTCACCTCTCTGCACTGTTCGTGCTTTTTTCCTGAGAGTTACCACCTTTACTGTCAGCCGCCTGGAATGAAGACTTCCACAACCCAGCTGAGCCTTTCTGCTCCACTGCAGAAGGACAAGAAAACATTTTACACATCATTAATTACTTCTCTCCTAATTCATTATTGTTAAATATTATCACACCATGAAAACACACAAATAATTAAAGTATGAGAGCACGTGTGTATACAGCGTGAGTCAAAAGTCACAGGACACCCTTTTGTTTCAGAAAGAAAAGGGAAATTTTAATTTCTGAACACCTCAGCAGGTAATGGGTCTGGAAGCGGGTCTTTTAAGCTATGTCTAGAACTTGGCCGGCATCTTGAAAACCGCCATATTGGATCAAGATAAAAAGATGCTCTGTGACTTTGTGTGTACTTATATTCAGCCGAGTAACCCTTGGCTGCGGACCACGGAACGGGACGGGCTCGAATAATGGGCGGAGTCGGACATCTGACTCCGCCCTCAAACCATTTTGATTGGACTGTCCATTTTCTTTCCTCTACATTTAGCATTTAATAGCATTTACCGCTAGTAGCTACTCGGGAGCATAAGGTATAGATCTAAATGAGACAATGTAATACATATAAACTTGTATAAAGTAGACCGTGTTGTGTTTCCGGTTATTAATAATTTTACGTGTACACCTCTCTATGGAAAACATTTATTTAAGCTTCCCCATACTGTTAAATCGCTATCCTGTGCTAACACTTCTTGTTTCGGTAACTGGGTATATCAAAATAAGAGTCTCATAAATAAATACAGACTTTCACTTTACCAGAACCTAAAATATTTTTTCCTAGGGTCATGATCACTCATGTCACTCGTACATTCATAAGTAAAAATAAAATAAATAGCTATAATAT